TGGGGTGGGGCAGAAACATCAAGTCAAAATCTGATCAGGGAGCTGGGCTCTTCACGGCACTGACACCAAAATACAAGTAACATTCAGAGGTGATCAGTACGTCCTTCTGAGACCATTATGCAGTGGGCCTGCTGACTCCAAAATTCTCATCATCGTATCTTCAACTTTCTAGAAAGCAGACCCTACTCTAAAAAACAATATAGGAAGTCCTCTGGACATTCTGCCTCCCCCGCCAGCCCCCGTGATCTCAGGCAGTCAGGAAGACCAGATGTCAGAGCTCCCTGAGATCCCTTCCAGCTGTCCCACCGTCTTTAAGGTCCTCTCCCTCCCTGCCTTTGTGGCTTTCAGGGAAGACAGGCACTTCCCTGCACACTGTGCCATCAGTCAAATTTGTTTTTAGTCTCTCTGAACATACTCATGCCCATGACTTTAACATTTCCTTAGGGAAAAAAGCTAAAACTTCAATTTCTCAGTTTCTGAAAGACAATTTTCTAAACCATGAGTCTGTTAGACTGAAATCAAACATCACATTTAGGCTTCCTAAAAATATTACCTCAGCACAATGCCTCATTTTTGTTCCCACATGCCCATTCCCCAAACGCACACACACACTTAAGAATGTCATTTAAACACTGGCGTGTATAATTTCAATGTCTTTAATGCCATCTACTAAAAGGACATTTCCATGTGATTCTTCACTTCAAAGCTATGATCCAAACTGGAGCTTTTATTAAATTTCAGGACTAAACAGGTAGATATGTGGATGGCGAATACCGACAATAAGATGCAGAGATTTTAAAATGCATTCAACTCAGTCATAACATTGGCATCTTATTCAATTTTCAGCAGAAGTCCTTCTTGTCCATTTCTCAGCCCGGTGCCTGGTATCAGGTATGTACTAAATATCACTTAAATGAATGTTAACGCATCTTAATCTTCTAAACACCCAAGTCAGAAATCTATTGCTGTAATTCTGGTCATAATCTAAATCTATTTGACCCTAAGACAAATGCCACTGGAATAAACAGCAAGTCACAAGCAGCTGCTGGCATTCAAAGTATATATACCTCTGTTATTTGAACTGTTTTGAAGTTAGCCTTGTTTGGAAGACAAATGGTTGGCAGCTGCGAGTTCAATCACAAAGTGCTTGGTAGGAAGGCAGAGAAAGAACCAGAGTGAATCAAGGTGCTATTTCATACACTGAGCATGGAATGTCTTTCCAACAAACATCTTTCGTTTCCCTGGGGCAAACTACTCACATTAAGCCCTCTGAATTTGGGAAAACTCAGGACTGTACTTTGGGAGGAAGAATCTAGGTTGAAGGCCAGGCAAAGCTGGGAGAGTGGGAGTCACTCCTTTCACACATCTCTGTTAATATGTTTTAAGGAAGAGGGTGGCACATAAGAAAAGCCACCAGGCAACCAGTCCAAAGGCCTCAATTAGATGTATGACACTAAACAAATTACTTCCTTCGTCCTTCATTTTCTCCTTCGAAAAATAAAGGGGCAAAAATAAAAATGGTAAAATTGGATGGAATTCTCTGCAATGATGAGAATGCCATAATCTGTGCTGTCCATCAATACAGTAGCCACTAGCCATATGGGGCCACTGAGTCCTTAAAGTATGGCCAGTGCACATTAGGAACTGATTTTTAGCTTTATTTAATTTTAATTCATTAAAATTTAAATAGCTACATATGGCTAGTGGCTACAGTTTTGGAGAGTGTAGCTCTAAGAGGACTGCTAGCATTTTAAGCAATCTTTGAAGGGCTGTGTGGGAAAAGCATGGGTGTGAGAGCACGACAGACTTGGGTTCTAAACCTAGTTTTCCATCACTGTTGTGCAACCTTGTGCAAATTACTTAACTTCTCTGAACTTCATTTTCCTTATCTGTGCAATAGAATATTACGACCTTTCTTGCAGAATTTTAGTGCACATTCAAGATAATGGATGAAAATAGACCAGACAGGCCCTCAATAAATGGTAGCTATTTCTCCAGTTACGATGTCCTCCAGGGATAAAAGTTTAACGTCTTTTGACTTTATTATACTTCCTGACCTAGGACCCATACTTTATTACCCCACAACTGGGTGCTACAGATGCAGCTCTTATCTTTCAAGAAAGCAACCTGCTCAGAATGTTCCAGATCCTCAGCTGTGGGTGAGCCTCCAGTAACCCAAGACCTGTGTGGCTCCGGAACGGCTGATTTCCGCTTCCCCTGTGTCCCCTCCACCTCACATTTCAGGAATTCACAAAACTCTTCCCTGTGACTGCAGACCAAGCTGAAACTGTGTTCAGTGCAACCAAAACACCTGTTGGTGGTTTCTGGTACTTTCCTCACTAACTCTCCCCTTGACTTCCCCTAATAAATATTTTATTGCTTCTTTTTTATTTGGAAATGCTTTGTGACTTTTTTTTTTGATAATTGCTCAGTGATTTAGAATACTCAGAAACAGAAATGCAGCAAGCTACATTTAATGCTAACCCAGCATTAGTTTAGTTACCAAAATAAAACAAGGCAAAGGAGACTATCTTTTAAAAGGAGTGTTCCAGTAAAATAAAAAAAGTGTTGCACTGTCTATTTAAATTAATATAATATGTTATGAGCCAGGTCCAAATGTTCTGCTGGTCCTTCCTTCAGTGAATAGAATCTTTCTGAGGCTCCAATGTCCAAGTTTTATCAGTGGACACAAATGGATGCCTAAGATAAGAAGGATGTATTTTCCACTGTTAATAATTATTGGAATGTTAAACTACCCTCTTCTTGTTTCTCCAGCATTCTACAGACTTGGAGAGAGAGGGGGAGAGAGACAGAGAGGAACTGAAATACAAGCTAACATTTTGGTAGGATTTCAATCTGGATTTGAGTAAGCCATTAGACAAAAGGTTTACAGTTAGCTTGGAATTGCAGCTAACTTCTGAGGCTTCTCCTCCAACAAGGACATTCTTGAAGGATTATTTATTGAAGGATGGTATGAAATCAAATAGGGCAAAATAATTTCGACTCTGAACTCTCACGCTTGGTGAGTTTAATTTTTAAAAAATAACCTGAGTATGTAAGTTATAACTCAGTAAAGAAACATAATTAATCTGGATTCAGACAAACCTGTATGACAATCCAGTCATGTCTTCTCCTCATAACTCCCCAAATTTCAAGATTTAATCTGAATCTGGAAACCAAGTGGATAACTCACTCAACTCAATTGTTGCACTTTGTCTGAAAAGTAAATGCACTTAAGAGCATTCCAAATTCTGAACCATTCTTGGTAACAGTTAAACCCAAAATAGGTCAACTCCAGAAAGGCATTCATTTAGCAGGGACTTTTGTCTGTGGCTATTTTGAAAACCACCGCTTAAAAAACTGACATTATGAAGCTTAAAAATAGACCCTTCAACTAAGGATCCTGGACTAAAATAAAATACCCTTTCTTCCCTCTATTTCCTCATTCCCTTATCCCTCAAACACCTTAGGGGAGTGGAGATATAGAGGGGTACCCTTTACCAGAGTTTTAGATTATTACTTGAAAACAATTTCTCTAAATTAAGAATATTAGGTAAAGTTACCAAAGTTCAGTGCTGGGTAAACCTGGAAAATTTTCAAACCAAGTAAGTGTTCCAAATGAAAACATGTAATATATACACCATAAGAAAATATGAGTCGGGATAAAAGTTCAGCCACCTTCTTCCACTCCAGCTGTGCGAACTCCCAGCAAGCTCCTCCCCCTCTCTGGATCTGGTTTCCTCATCTTGCAAAAGGAGACACAGGGCTAGAGGATCTGTAAGGTCCCACACAGCCCTAACAGGCTCTGCTTCTCTATAGCCGGGCAGCTGCTTCCTATTTTCATGACTCCTTGGAAAAAGCAGAAAAGTCCCTGGTCCAGAAGGTCCCTGGGAAGCCTGGTTATACTTTAAGTGTTCCCCTGGGACATGAGAACTGCTATTGAGAGCAACGCCAGCTGAGATGGAGATGAAACAGAAACGGCGTTGAGGTGGGAAATTAAGTCATGTTTTGCAGATGACACTAGTAAATCCAGAAACACTGATATTCAAACAAAAAATTACTAGACAGAAAAAGTGGTTTTTAAATAATTTGTACAAATCAAACCACAGTGCAGATGGAAAACACAAATTTAAAAATGTTCAATCACAACAGCATCAAAATGTTAAAGTCTCTGAAATATGAACTCAGGACACAAGAGAACTATTCAGAAGAAACAATAACACCGTATTATCCAAGAAAAAATAACACCATAACAGGAAAAGAGGAGACACTAATAAATGAAAAGGTAAGGTACACCATGACAATTTTTAAAGTTTTCTTTAACCCTACCCAATTTAAAAAAAGAAAATAAAACTATCAAAACCACATATGAGTTTAAAAGAAATTTCAGAAATAGGTAAAAATACCACAAAGACCAAATAAAAGTAAACCTGAAAATACAACAGATGGATAAAAATCATATTTAATAAACTCCATTAAGACACTAGAATTCATTGTGGAAAAAAACTATCTTAGACCCACACTTCACATCAAACACATTAATTAATTCCAGATGGGACCACATAAGGGAGAAAAAAGGCTAAAAGAAAATGAAGCCATATAGTCCTGCTAGTGATGAAATGATGACAGATGTCTAAATACAAAGAAAAGGAGGCTATCACACACAAAAGACATGCTTTGGAAGATTTTTTTGAAAATAAATGTTTTTTTCTTAAGTAATACAACATAAAAGGAAAACATTCCAACGAGATGATGTAGTAGCCATACATTTTATAAAATTTAAAAATATAAAGCACAGCGACCTACTGCTTCAACAAACCAGAAAACAAGTTAATTGTGTGCTTGTTAATAAAAGAAATGAACTCACAAAAAAATGAATAAAATACAAAGTACATAAAAGCTAAGTAGACGTATCTATTAAAAAATGGTCAGAGGAGAAGAAAAGTTTGCATGAGACTTTAAAAAATGTTCAGCTGGTACCACAAAACCATCCCACCTACCGCTCCAGCTTCATCCCCTGCGACCTGCAGCCATGCACCCAGTGCACTAAACCACTTGCCGGCTCCTCCACATATCCCAAGCTTTCCCACATGTGCGAAGTCCTGAGCTCTCTTCCTGCCGTGCCCCCTCCCCGCCATTCCTGTGGAAATCCTAGCCATCCTTCAAGACCCAGCTCAAATGTCATCTCCTCTGTGAAGGCTCTGCTAATCTCCCCATGGACGTGCCTTCTTCCTCCTCTCAATGAGCTCTGACAGTACTTTCTTTGTACCTCTTCTCTTGGGGCCCTTTTCCTACTCTGCAGCCATTTGTTTCCTTCTTCCTGTGTGCCTGCAACTTCCCCTTCCCCTCCTTTGTGAGATTTTAAGATCCTTGGCGGCAAAGACAATCTTACTCACCTACCTTTAGCATCCAGCATAGCAAATTACATTCAGTTAGCATTCATTAAGTATTAGTTTAGACTGAATCGATGAAATACAGAAAATTCCATTTCAAAAATACAGCCTAGCTAACAAAGTAAAACATACTGACCTTAAAGGAGTCCTATTAAAAGATCAAAACTCACTAAACTTACAAAAAAAACCCAAAAACTTCCTGAAGCTTGAGGAATCAGCTGAAACATACATACACTGTAAATTGGTTCTGTCTTTTTATGGAACATATTCAGTTAATATTTAACTACAGCAGTAACATGGTTCGTTGCCTCTGATTCAGTGTATGAATTAATCTAAAAGAACAAAACAAATTAGTTCAAAACATTCATAAGAGTATCAATAAAATTCTGAAAGCCACCTAAATAATCAACAGTGTCATTTGTGAAGCCTAATCCTATTAAATTCTACTCTTCAGCCAAAAATAGATGACAAGCATGAGAATCTTGTCCATACATACAAATTGGAGGGTGGGAGGAGGGGGACACCCATCAACTGGTCACGACTATTTATATATGTATATAATGGAATAACCAAAAGTTAAACTGGAAAATTTAACATCTGGAAGTTCTTTCTTTAAAGGATGTTGATATATTAAAAAAAAATTTTTTTTTAAGTTGGGCTTAAGCAGAAAAATGTTCAAAAAAAGAGCTGGGGGGAAAGGAAGTCACTCTACCTTTGTCCGATTTTTCAACACTCTGTAATCTCTTCTTAATCTGATACCCTTGCTGACATCAAAGCAGGATGCCCCTGGGAGCTTCACCGAGAAATCAGAGGCAGGATCAGCAATTTTAGCAGTAGCCCTGCACCAGGATTCAGAGAACATCTGTTTTGGTTTTTTTTGGTTTTTTTTTTTTAAACAAAATACAATTCATCTTGCAAAGTGTTAACTTAGCAAACAGGTCTGTCAGCCTCCAAACAGCTCTCATGGGCTTTCAGGCAACAGAACTAAAACACAGGATGAGAGGGAAAAGCACAATCAAGTAACAGTAAAAGACTAGGATGATTTTTCAAAATTGGCAGCTTCTAGAAGGGAACAAGGGAAACAAAAGTGGGATCCTAAGCTTTCTTTTCGGGCTCACCTCATCTTCTTTCCAGCCTGTGGGTTCTCCAGGTTTTCTCAACATGTCAGACAGATTCACTATTACTTGACCTACGGGTGTGGTAGAAATAACTACCAACGCATACTGAGGGAAGCTAGCAAGGAAGGGTTTTTTGGGTTGTTAGCAGTAGTTTGTTTGTTTAAACATTATTTTAGTTTTGTCCAATCTACCAATAATGATTTACTGTATTAAAAGAATAGTGCTGTAGGCCCAGGGGTCCAAAAACGCATGGTCCCTAATAATCAAATTAATGAAAAAAAGACACATAAGGAACATTTAGTGAGTAAGAAAGCATACGACTCTAAAATTATACTGCATTTAACATGATGTTTATTACACAACATAGACCAGAGTACAAAAGGGAAAAGAGAAAATGTGAGTTAACATTAAAAAGGGTGTAAGACTTAGGAAGAATTTTATTCTCTGGGTACTTTTTAAAAATTTATTATAAATTTTTCCAAACATACAGAAATATGGAAAGAATAGAACAGTGAGACCCACAAACTAACAAACCAAACAACTGTGAACAATTTTGCCCCACAGGCTTTATCTACTTTGTGTGCATATTTTTTTCCGAACCATTTGAAAGTTTCATGCATCACCTATAACATTCTCCTACATAATCATACGATTATTGCACCTAAAAAATCAACCATAATTCTCTATTCAAATTTCCCTAATTGTCCCAAGAATTCATTTTACAGCTGTTTCATTTTTTCATTCGGTACCCAATCGAGGATCACGCATTCCACTTGGTTGGCATGTCTCCTTACTCTCATTCTCGAACAGCACCAGTCCCCTCTTTTCCCCTATGACACTGACTTTTTAAAGAGACTGTGTCAGTTGTCTTAGAGAATGTTCCACATCCTGAATTTGTCTGATTGTTTCCCCCTGGTGTCATTTATCTTGCTCCTTGGTCCCTGCATTTGCTGTAGACAAGAAGTCAGATCTCAAGGCTTGATTAGATGCAGGTTTGGGTTAAATTTTAAAGGACAGGCAGCATGTAAAGTGTCCAAGTCAACATGGTTTATCAACACATTTGCAATTTGGTGTTAAGGATAAAAGAACAGTCAGCTGAGAGGGAAGAAATCAAAGCTGGCATCACTAACTACACTTCCCATTTGGAAGGCATTCCCACAATCATAAAGTGCTTTCATATATGTTATTTGGGATGACACGCACCTGCCCTCCTTCCCCTACAGGTATGTTGTGTTTTCGCCCTTATGTTACTAATGAGGAAAACTGAGGCTCACTGAAATTAAATGACATGCCAAAGGTCACAATTAAGAGGCATAACTAAGTCTTGAACTCAGGTTCTCGAATAGCATGGAGTTACTGAGAAAAGGCTACGTGAGAGATGAGCTTTATGCTAGGTCTTGAAAGATGGGCACATTCATTCATTCCAAGTAGTAGACCCTGGGGAAATATCAGTACACAAGACAGTCAGGATCCTTCTCCTCATCTAAAGTGTGGTGGCAAATACAGAACAAAAATAAAATCACACAGGAAAGTGGAGGAGGGCATTCCAGACAACGGAAACCACGTGAGCAAGACCAAACAGAGGTAAGCAGTGTGCTGGGGCAACGGGCCAGAGACACATCAAACTAGATGGGTAAGGCAGGGGCAACACCTACTCAAGTATTCTCTCCCCTTCTTTCAAAGATGCATAAATGAGTGAAAGCATAATGTTTTAAGTGTTTACGTTCCAGCAAGAACCCCACACATCTCCTTGCCATGGGAGTCATAAGTCATCTTTATGAATCTTTTTGCTATTTCTGTATCTTCTGCAACAACAGTAGAGACATTGTTCCCAAGGACATAGGCTCCAATTAGCCCTGCTTTTCACCTGAAGCTGTTCTCAAAAGATGGCACCAGCAGTAGATATTGCAGCAACAAACGAGCAGAAGCATCCAAGTTCAGAACTACAAAATCAGTTAAAACCACTTCAGAAGCTTCTAGTTATCACGGCAAGGCCATAAGAGAGCCCTCAAAAGCACATCAACCTTTTTCAACCTTTCTGTCCCCTTCCTTAAGGACCATCACATTCTAACAGATGTGTGTCCCTTACAAACCTAGCAGAACTGCTGATGCTATGAACTGGACTCTGAATGCAATAATTAAGTAGGTCTGAGGGTTTCAGGGTTACACTGAAACAGCCCAAAATCCAAAAGCTGTGATTGCCACCTTCTTGTTTATTCAGCACCTTATGGCCTTCAAAGCATTTCTGTATGTGTTATCTTGCTTCATCTTCAAGGTACTCCTTCAGGGTAGGAACCGTTCAATCATTAACCAACAGAGATCTACTTGCTATGGGCCTGATAATGCTCTATTCACTGAGCAAGGAACAAACCAAGCCCCCACCTTCATGAAGCATACATTTTAGAGGGTACAGGCAGAGGGGCAAATACTTATAGACACTGCAATGTTGATGCTATAAAGAGAAACAGGGCAAAATGAAGAAGCAGAGCATGACAAGGACTGCTGTAAGCAGAGGGATCAAGGATGGCCTCTGTGAAGAGGTATTTGAGCAGAGGTCTAAAGGAAGTAAGGCGCACGTCACAGGGGTATGTGAGAGAAGAGAATTCCAGGGAGAGGGAATGGCCAAAGCCAAAGCTCTGTGAAGGTAATGTGCCCAACCTGCCGAGGAGCAGCACAGGGAGCAGTGTGGCTGGAGTGCACGAGTGAAGGGGACAGTGGAGGAAAACCAAGCACCTGAAAGGAGGGCCCTGTCGGCCACTAAGGCAAAGACTTTGTGAACCGTTCTCATCCTCACTCTATAGATAAGGAAAGTACAAAGGACTTGCCTAACTAAGGTCAAAGAAAAAGTGAGGTCTTGGGAAGTACCCTGCATCGCTACTGTGATTTCTACTCAGGGCTCAAATTTCTCCTCAAAGAGATTAAAAGTGTCCCTTAAAACACAAAGGGATTAAGGATGTGCCTAATCACGGAAGGAGACACAAGGTACCCTAAAAGCCAGCAATCCCATTTCTGAGTACTTTCCACAGGGAACTCTTACAGGAGTCCAAAAGACATACGATGGTGATGGCCGCACTGTTTGAGGCAGCAAGGGGTTGGAAATGGCAAAAATGTGTTATTCTAGTGGAATAATAAATAAAATGTAGTCCATGCACATGACTGACTGCTCTGCAGCCAAAATAAATAATGAACAAGGTATACATATAACATCATGAACAGAACTCAGAAACATGGTATTTGGTTAAAACAAACAAAAAAAAGAAATACAAAAGTTTAGGATTGTCGTTGCTCTGTTCAAATATTCCCAATTCTCCTCCTTCCAAGAAGGCCCCTGCCCCCTTCAAAGGTCAGCATGGCGACGTGACTGGCTTTGCAAAAATGAGAGCAAAAGTGGTATCTGTCACTTCTGGGCAGAAATTTTACAAGCCAGAATGTGGTTCACAAGAGTCCCTTCTCATTAAGCATATTTCAGATATGGTGCCTCCATCAGTCTGGGTCCCTAATGGAATCCAATCAGAGCCCCCCACTGACCCGCAAGTATTGTTAAACTA